CGTCATCCGCTTTATCGGTAAATTTTTGAAAATTGTTAGCGACATTTAAGACAAGTTGTAAGAAGTTTTTTTACAGGATCACTTTTCAACCACACTTAAGAGCTTAAGCAAAAGCACAGGCCAAAATAAAATTTGGTGAATACAACCCATTTTTAAATTACCTTTCAAACAATTCCCATGCCACGACAATTTCGCAAGCACGTGACTTAATACCACCTGCAATCGGCAAATTAAAGGAGGAAAATCCTTTTATATTCAAGGAAATATAAATTCTTTATTTAGTTTGCGGTAAATCGTACAGTAAAATAGGCTTTGGAAGAAAAAATCAGGACTTAGCTTAAAAGGAAAAAGGCTCTGGTGCCTAACAAACAGGTAATGTGAAAGAGATTTGACAGCGGCTAAAGGCTGCTATCAAAGGTTTCCTTCGTTATCAGTTCCAAAAATAATTTAATCCAGTAGTGTAATATTCTTTACGCGGCAAAGAGAGCTTGAGCTTTTCGGTAAACATGTGGATTTAAATAAGATGGAAATGTTTACACCTACCGATGTTTAATGTGGCTTTCGGTTTATAAAACATTCGCCTTTTACTGAGCTCCACATCATGGTTTTGAAAAAACGAAATTTTTAATTTTTGATTTCGTTTGCTTGAAGAAATTAACTCCAAACTCCAAATCACTGACTTGAGGGGGACATTAGAGTTGTAATGCCCAGGAGCGAGAGATACAAAATAGTCCCATGGACAATAATTATTTTAAAGAAGCATATTTTGCGGGGTCTTTCTCACAACACCAGCTGTACTTATTCTCACATCCATTCCACTTATAATTTTGGTCCAAATTTCGAGCAACCAGACTAGCAAAGAGTCGTCACAGAGGCAAAAGTTATTTTATATTGGTAAACAACCATCACATCCAAAACGGCTTTTTAGGTGAAAAAATTAGTCTTCCCTTTGATTTTCTGTTTTTAAACGAAATCGGTTCAGTTGTTTCCATATATTGACTGATTTAGTAGTCAGTACTCAGCCCAAAACAATTAACACAGAATAATTCTGTGTCAAGGGATCTAAATTTTTTCCACAACTGAAGTCCGTCATCTGCTGACCTTTATTGTCTTAAAGTTTAAATGATAGATTGCGGTGTGTTTCAATGATCGTTTTCGTAATAAAAGAGAAAATATACATGGAAAAATGAAAAGATATCTCAAACATTGGGCATTGCAATTTGTGTGAAGCAAGCTTTTCGTATGAGAAAAGTAGAACAAATTTATTCTATACCATAGCCTTTAATTGTAACAATATTGCGCGTTCGAAATTCCAAACTGAAACCAGAGGTTAAGCGTAATATGTATAAAATAAATTAGATATTTTTTTAAATTTAATGTTCGTGTTTTCTAGTGATGTTTGTGATAGGCAAATGGTCTTCTCGTTGGTTTGCAATTTTAATTTAGAGTTCAATATTTAAACTGACATATCATTATTTAAACTTAACATTAAGCCTCGTCATTACATACGTTTAGTCTGACTTTAAATTACGTTTTTCCTGGGACCAGACGATTGGCCAGATATCAAAACTAAGTCCTGTATTTCTACACATACAAAAAAAAAATCTGGTTTGTACCAAATCTTTAATCAATGAAATGTCAAATGGATGTTTGCTCTGAGTAATCTTTTGTGATTTAAAAGGCGGAGTTTTTTTCCGGCAGTTTCTTTGACCGGCTTATTTTTGTCGCTTTCATTGCTAAGACGTTCCTTTAAACGTTATTTATTCGAATTTGGAAGATAAGATAACACAGTATAGCCCTTTATCAAACAAAACAAACTGCGGTCTGATTAAAAAAAGGCACGAAAACGTAAGTTTAATGAAGCTGCAAACTACAGTGGAACCTCGATGTAACGAACCTCTGGTATATAACGAAGTTCTCGGTATAACGAACGATTTTCTCTACCCCAGTAATGGTAAAATAAAATATAGGAAAAATAATCTCGATATAACGAAGCCTCGATATAGCGAACAAATTTTGCCTTGGCCCTTTGTTATATCAAGGTTTCAATGTACGTCTTTAGTTCCAGTGACGTCACAGTCTTATTCCCGCTGACCCGGCTTTTACGCCATCGGCAAGGACTCTCGGCTGCCTGACGGTACGTCATTAAAATCTGAATTTGTACTCAAAGTTGGCTTTTTAGCCCGTGCACAAGAACAAGAAAATTCAACGATTTCACTAGGTTTTTTATAGAGTCTTGTTGCATTTAATTCCTGCAACGAAAATGGAAGGAAACTATCTAAAGGCGTTAAAGATAACATAAAGCATAATCCCTCTAATAATCGTCATGCAGTTAATACTGTCAAGAATCCATTAACATTCTTTGCATTTTAAACGTCCTCATGGGGGAAGGAATCAGTCACGGAAAGCTCAATAAGCTATGGGTTAAATACAACTGACGTTTAAATAACTTAAAGTTGTAATTCCGAGAACAAAAAAACCGAAAAGGTAGGGTTAGCTGAATATTTGCAGTAGAAAGAGCTTTCATTTTAACTTATTTTATTTCTTATTTTTGTTTCAGAATGGCTCTAAAACGTTTTCGAAAAAATTTATCCTTTTCTGGAACCCTTTTCTTGAGATGGATTGTAATATTTTTGCTTTGCCAACAGTGTGCAGGTAAGAGGTATTAGATGTAAGAAAAAAATAAGCACAATTCTTTTATTGTGAAATATAAATGAATGGTGATTAAACGCATTACTCTATGACAGTTGGTTATCTATATATATACACAGCTATTTCGAAAGGTATTGTGGGTGGTTTTGAGTTCACTAGTTTCAAAGAAATTTGAAAAACTGGCAGGAGAGGCCGTGGACTTATGTTTGAGAGAGCCAAAGGAAATCAACAAAAGTAGGTTCGACAGCTACAGTCAGTCAGGAACAGTGTATTGACTGGCATATTTTCTTTTCGAATTGTCGAGTGTAGTTTTGCGACAACCTTTCTCGGAGTAGCTGCATACATTTTTAAACGTTCTTGCAGCAGTGGCTCTTCTTTATTGTCAAGTTGTAACATGCGCGTACTGTTTAATTCCTCACGTTTTCAATCTCCTCCAATCCTTTGTGTAGTGCATGTTGGCGTTTAAAAAATCTCGCACACAAAAAACCTCTCGTCACAGAGAACTCGATGCCTAAATTAAATCTAAGCTATACATAAATGTCTCCCTGTAGCGGAATGTTCTTTTATGCGAAAAGAAAAGAAAACAAACAAACTTCACGTAAAGAGAAAGTCAAGCCAAGCCGATAGACCGACTGGCTTGACTATCAAGTCAAGGTCGTCAAGATAGACATGCAAGTTAGAATTAGTCAAGGTCTATCGGATCTTAGTTTATTAGTGGAGACTACATTCCACTCTCTTTACTATGGTGTTTAGATTTCTTTATTTAACTGTGCTGCTACACTGGAGGGGTTGAGAGGTTGGTTTCGACTCCTAATAAGGAATCTCATTCCCTATAAACCTAAAAGGCAACTGGCATGGGAGCGTTCATGTTAGTACCCTAAAATTGTAGTGTGACCATAGCGGACCCAGGATGCAATTCGCAACTCTCCAAAGATCCAATGTGCAGAACAAGGCACTTATTCAATTCGCATCAATTCAAAGGGGAGTAGATAGAGGTTATTGATTTAAAGGTTTCTTTTTTTTATTGATCAGCAATAAAGAACTATAGCAATAATGCGGAGCAACGATTACTGAAGCATCTCTTTACTGAGTACGACAGAGACGGCCATCCAGGGGGAGGAATCAGTGTAAAGGTCTGGATAGGAGCCAAGGTGGTGCGCATCGTAAACATTGTGAGTGGCAGCCACTGTTTGGGTGTTACCACCTGCCTGCAAATTAATTCTGGTTTAAATTTTTTACCCAGTTGGCAAATACTCACCATCCTCTTATGAAGCTACAGCCGAAGCTCTCGTAAGCGACCACCCCGGAAATTCAAAAAAGTGGTCGTAACTAGAGCTGGTCGCTTACGAGATTGAGCTGTCGTAAGCGGCATGGTAAAATAAGAGTAGAGTGAGTTGGGTGGTCGCCTACGAGAGCTTTAGAAACTCATTCGTAATTCGTAAAGAAAAAAACAAAAGAAATTAATTTTTAATGAGTGTCCGTTTTATCTGATATAGACACGGCTAAACTTTACATTCAATTTTTTTTAGACCAAAATAACCCCAAATCTAAATATTAGAACCATTAACGCAACGTACAGTTCCATTAAAGTGTTGATTTACGTCAATAAGACTCTGAGTGGTGCTTACGAGAGCTTAAAAACAAAGGAAAGTCCATTTGTGTAATCTCAAAAGTGGTCGCGATCGCTTACGAGAGCTTCTCATTACAAAGTTAAAGTCACAGTTCAAACCGGATTTTACATAGATGGTCGTTTATGGTTGCTTACAAGAGTGTTCGCAAGGAGAGCTTCGACTTAAAATTAGAATTAATTCGAACTGAAATTTGAGTCCCACAAACCAGGTATGCTTGGAGGAATTCGATGAAAATTTGAGTCCGATATACAGCATACGTTTAGCGATATTCTATTTACAAAAAAATTCGAAATTCTATAAAGAATGTATGCCTCTAGTAGAATTTTTGCCACTTGTCATGATTCTTCATTTTCTGGGATTGTTTTTTCCTATTAAGATTGCTTGCAAGGGGGTTAAAAATTGCTTGGAATACCCAGGCTAAAACCAACTCTTTTGACCTTTGCTCGTAATGATCGGCTAATTTGAAAATGCGTGTGGGACTGTGTCGATGTTCTCATAAATTGCACTATGGGAATGTTTTGGGGACGTTATGCACTTCAGTTAACGGTTGTTGCAAGGTTGCGTAGGGGAATGGGTTAAAATTCGTCCCCAAAAAGCTGTCCCATAGTGCAATTCGATAGCCACGTACAACGTCAAAACAGCTAATAATTTTTTGTAATCTCTTAATGCCCATAATTGTAGGACGAAAAGAATAATGCACTGCAGGCTCAGTGGTGGATGAGACAGGTGGGAGATTAATTTTCATTTACATGTCAAGAAATTTAAAATTATGATCCCTGCCACCCTGCACAGTCTGGTCAATTCAGTCCCATAATATAAGCTTAACAAATTTGAACGAATCAAGAATTGTTAAAGAAAAAACGGATTCTGCGAAAGCTGCATTTTCTTTTTCGCTACTTTCGCGCTGGGTAAAGGTTTAGGGAAAAACACAGCAAACTTTAGCTCATCACAGATCTGGAGCCCCCCCCTCTAGTGTTTAAGGATGGTTTCAAATTAATTCTATCGTGGAATCAAAATGTTTCTTTGTCTAAGCCTCATGCCTTGACAAATACTACATTTTGTGCTTCATTTTTGAACTGAACTTAAAATTTACCATATCTAATTACTGGTTTTCACACGACGCCATCAAAATTCAAACTAAGCGTTTTTACTTTCATCATGTATTAGAGCAGTTAAAAGCTAATATTTTAACAAATTTTTACTTCGAACTGGTCCCTCATTTTGTGATGCAGTACCCTTGAATTTCTAAGGTTTTGCGTGACGCGGCTTTTTAAATGGCGGCCGAGAGAGCTGTCATGTAGGTTGAAAAAGTGACTTATTTTGAGGGATTTAGCTTTCTCTCGGAAAAAGTATTACTTTAATGTTCAAGTTAAGAGTTCCTCGAGAGAAGAATTCACGCTTTCGCAGCAAAACTCGGAGGCAGCTGTTTCTGTTTGTTCAGTCCGGCTGCCATTACGGTGCCCATCCGGATGGACACCAACATGGCTTTTCCATACAAAGCTCTATAAATTTTGGTCTTTATCCGTTGAAGGTTTTGATATCTATTTTTAATGGTGTGACACTGAAAACCAGCAATATGTTCTACAATCTTTTACACGGATTATTTTAAACCTTGTCCAAATATAATTGATTTTTAGGACTGGAACAATCCAGATCTGACGTGGAACCCAAACGACTTTGGGGGAGTGAAAACTGTTTTCGTGGAACCGACAAAAGTGTGGGTCCCAGATGTATTGTTGTACAACAAGTACGTATTAACAAAAACAAAAATAAATAAAAGTTGTGAAACTTGGTTTTTTAGAGGCGTTACAAATATTGAGGACTTTCGTTGGTGAATCACAAAAAAAAACCGGATTATCAAAAATGTATCCTTACATTTTACGTTTCCAGTAGACGGCGCAAATAGTACTGAAATGGTTCGTCTTTCAAAGGGTCGAATTTAGTTTTTTAGTTTACAACATCTTAAAGATTACTTAATTTACACCTTTTAGTTATTTACAAAACTCAATTTTTGATTCTTGACGTACCCGCGAGCACATCAGAAAGCCTGTTCACTTATAAGGAGACATTTATTATTGAGGCTCATATGCTCGATATACGTCAGCTTTGATAGTTCTTTCAGGACTTCATCGGACCGTAAACTGTCTGCCTGTCGATTAGAAATCTCGAGTAAGTTTTTGGTTTTACTACGATCGTTATAAATTGTAGTGTCCTTTCCAGTGCTGATAAAGACAAGGATATGGCTGGTGGAGTGGAGAAATACAAAACAAAAGTTTCTGTCTCCTTTGATGGCAACAACACCTGGATGGCTCCTGCTATGTTCCAAAGTATCTGTGACATTGATATCCAGTATTTTCCTTTTGATGAGCAAAAATGCCACTTGAAGTTTGCTTCCTGGGCTTATGACGTGTCCAAACTGGATGTTTTTCTGAATGACAAAGAAACGGGTAGACTGGAAGGAATTTACCAGCCATCCAATGAATGGATCCTGTTGAGCGTTGATGCAGAAAGGAACGAGGTAAGTTGCACCGCCACAAATACTGCTTTTACTTGAAACTCAGCTCTGTTGTGTTGGCCATACCACAGCAAATTTGATTAAAGGGATCTAATTTGAAACTAAGTATCATAAAAAGAGACAGACTAATACCGGCAATCGTTTCAGTTGGTGTTTTTATTGGTCTTCATTCTCACGCGCCCCTGCAACAAATGTTATTCTGACAAGTGTCCACTAGAAAAATGCCACACCAGGGACTTGATATATCCTCAAAAAAAAATCCTTTTCATACAAGGTATCTACCATGAATAGTCATGATACCATGAGTAGGAGTAGTAGAGCGAGCGAAACGTGAGCGCTCGTGAAAATCACCCCACGCGAGAAAAGGCTACATTCGGTCGCGTGGGGTGATTTTCACGCACTTTCACGTTTCGCTCGCTCTACTGTCCCTGAGGGAAAATGGGGGACCACTCGTAGTCTATCATTTCACCTGCACAGGTTTCCGTGCTGATATTGTCTTATAATGAACTCCTGTTTAATCATGAAGTTAAATGTCACACGCTTATCATATCATTTTAGGTAAAGTACCCATGCTGCACATACCCTTACTCGGAAGTTCTCGTTACGCTAAATCTGGAGCGTCGTTCAAGATATTACATCATCAATTTGGTGTTTCCTTGTGCACTTATAGCCTGCATGGTGTTCTTTACTTTCGTGCTGCCACCGGAGTGCGGCGAGCGGGTATCCCTGTGCATTACCATCCTCATGGCTATGACTATCTTCCAAGAACTGACATCAACTAAACTACCACCGAGCTCCGATTCCTTCTTCCTTATTGGTGAGTATTGTATGTCGAGCCTAATTACGGCTTCGATTGAGATATTGGCGCGCTCGCGAGTGAGAGATCGATAAGAATTCCAGTGAGGACTGTAAATTACTTTCTGTGATTACGTTATTTACTTAATAGGTAACTTCTGATGGCTTGTAGATTAGTATGTTGTTTAAGTCTGTGAATGCGATCCAAAATTACCGGGTTCTCTTGGTGCGTCTATGGATGAAATTCTGAAACGTGTGAGCAGTAATTTCTTGTGCGCGTACTTTTCAATTCTCATGCTGTTGAATTGAAAACTGGGTGTGGCCATTCAAATGAAAGCTGTGAAAGCTACTGGACAGTATTTAATTACCTGTAGTGCGGTTTATTTTGGTGTGCAATGTTCTGCAACTCTTAACTTTGCATAAATTTATCGTGCTTTTTCTCTTTTGTAGGGACATATTACACGGTCGCAATATTTGAGATTGGTATGGCAATTGTAGCAACTTGCATTGTTTTGAACTTCTACTACAGCAAAACAAAAATGCCAGGTTGGGTCAAAACTATTTTGCTCAAAACATTGGCACCTCTTGTCAAAGTGAAAATAAGATCAAGACGATTTTCTACTAAAGACAGCCAAAAATCCACAGACAGTGCGCATGCGCTCGACATAATCCACAACCCCACGTTCGACACCTTCAATCTTTCGGACGGCGGAGTCAGTTGGGGAGGAATTACAGACGTTTTTGAACAAAACCAGAACGTAGCGATGACGTCAGTGAACCTTAGAAAGGACAGTCTTGGCTCTGACGCAGAGGAGGAAGAAAACACTGAAAACCCTACCTTAAAAATGAATGGCGTTTCGCACCGAAAGAAAGTGACTAGGCTTAACGACAAAACTCAAAACAGAGAAACAACTTCAGATGGCAAAGAGCCGTCATCTTTACAGCAGATGATTGAGTGGCAAGATGAATGGCGGGCTGCTTCAAAAGTTTTGGACCGAGTAATTATTATTTTTTCAATAGTCATCGGTTTTGTCTCCTTTGCTATTATTTTTCTGCAAGCCCCGAAAGTAAGACAACTATTTGCTATTTCGTAAAAACGTTGTTCAGAAAGGCATCCACGTGAAAGAATCTAACATAGGGAGCTTAAGCAAAGACGACGACGACGGCAACTAGAACGTCAAAAAAACAGTTAGATTAGCAAAACAACAACTTTGCACGTGCATCAAGTTTGTTTGTCTTTTTCTTTGCCGTCACTGCACGACTACGACGTAACGTTTTGTGGAGAACGTGAACAAGACAACGACTTTCTTTTTCTTTTTCCAGAACTTCGATACTTCCTTATGCCTGACATCAGACAGAGCTGATACTCAACTTTCATAAGCGAAGTGTAATTTAAACTTCCAAATAGTAATCGTTACGAAACCAAATAATAGGACAATTGCACGATGACGATATTTGACTACAACTACCAGAATTCTTTTTTGTTTTGCTTTGTTATTTAAATTTGTCAATCCCGCTGAGGATTAAAGAACAATAGCCTTAATTTGCACAAGAAAACAACAAACTCAAGGATTCTGGTGGTTGTAGTAAAATGACGTAATCGTGCAATTGTCCTGTTGTTACTAAATGAGCTGGGATGAAATGTCGAATTTCAGGTACCTGCGCGTTTCGGCCGTAAATCGCTTGGCCACTCGGACTTTTAGAGAGAAAGAAACAACAACAAAGAGGAGTCTTTACTTCGATTAAATTTAAATGTCAACATTGACGTGGATAACAGAGAAAGAGCTAGAGCCAGTGATGAAAAAGAAAGGAGACTAATTTTTTTGGAAGAGAAACAGGAACTGATTTTATAGCGGCGGTGCGAAAATGAAAAATTTTAACGGCCACCAAGGTGAAAATGAGCGGGCAGTGAAAAAAAATGCGAACAGGAACACATACGACATTTCTTCCATAAAACGTTGTGTATCTAGGCCGACGTTGTAGTCGTGCAAAACATCGCCAAAGAAATGTACAAAAAGGTGTGCTGTACGTGCAAAATTTTTGGCTAATTAGACCTATAGATTTATTTTGCCGTTTTGTTTGAGAAGCTACAAATATTAACGAGAGCTTCGCTTTTAGCCCCGGCTAAATGTAGTATAGAGTGTATAGGAAAGATACATGATGAACAGTTAAATCAGTTAGAAGAACGCAGGTTCTTTTGCTAAAAGCAGTTACACAGACATGCCAAGCCGCGCATGCGCATACACTGACAACGTGTCCGTTTTGCAATTTTGGTAAAAGCGTTTTGAAAATTTTCATAAGCTCTGGGCTACAAACATCTCCTATGAGAACGGCTGATATAACGTCTGAGAAAATAACTAAAACAAGACAAATTCTTGCACAAAAACTTCATTCCCGCCTCCCTCTTCTCAATCAAGATAGGCGCTTAATAGAGGGTACTAGGAAGATACATTTATTACCATAATTTGCATAAAAAACATTTGCTTTTCTTGATGGATAAAACTTGTATCAAATGATGTGAATCAGATTTTGTAATGTTCGCTTTTGGTAAAACTATGGCAATCAAAGAAATACAGGGTGTTTCAAAAGTTCGTTCCGATTTAAAATTGTATTTTGAGCAAAGCATTTGATACTTCTTTCGGCAAGTGTAAACTGATTCAGGGGAAAAATTTACCTAAATAACCATTCAAAGCAATTTCAAACTAAAATTTGAAGAAAATATAATTTTTTTAAATTTTTGCCTGAACTGTACACCGTACGCGAGGTTTTTCCCGCCACACTTTTCCTCCCATTTTGTAGGTTTTCTATTTTGGTATTTTTATCGTTTTCTTATATTTTCTCTATTCCTTCATGAAAATGAAGGCCTACATGGTTCAGTGCTAGAGCTCAGGCATCTATTTATATGGTCTTCTGGCCATTCAGTCGAAAAAAAAAATGCCAAATTGTTGAAGAAGTCTGAACGATGACCGAACAAGTGGTCAAAAGTAAAGACCTTAGAAAACAAACCAAACATGAGTGGATGGCCGTTTTTCACAAAATGTGCACGTGCGAGAAATATTATCGAAAAAGCTGTAAGTATATGCGTAATAATTCCACAAAACAGAAAGGTAAAAAAATTTCAACTTCACATTATCGATCAAAGTTTCCAGCACGACAGTATGGGGATAAGTTACCAAAAAAAGTTGGAAAGCCTTGAAGAGAAAAAAGCGGTGCACACTTCATGCAAGCATGGTGTCAGAAGGATTTGCCAACTTTATACCAAAGGAGGACTGGCCGGCAAACTCACGAGACGTGAACCCCCTACAGACCATCTGGATTATCGTAGACGAGACAACATACAAAGATCCAGCCCCCAAAACACTGGATGAGCAAAACAGTGACTACGCTTCGCCTGGAAGAATGTGACTTTGGACACGCTTCGGGAGCTCGTACATTTCATACCTCACCGCTTAGAAATTGTCAGAAAACGTACGGGAAGACATTCTGGTTACTTATATTTTAGTTATTCAATGTTAAATGAATAATGAATAACATACTAAGTTTTAGAAAAGGTATTTTTTAATAATTAGTGAAATTTAAGCGAATAAAAAATCGGAACGAACTTTTAAAACACCCTGTACGCCTTCTATGATTTCGAAAGTGAACACTGATGATCCTCGCATTGAAATGACAACCTAAGTGGTTGAAAAAATTCACGCTAGATCGGGAATTTTTTCAGGTTGTTGTTCAACTGCCTAGGTTGTTCGGCATTCAACTACGAGGATCATGTTCACTTTCATATCTTTATCCGCAGTTCAAAAATAAATTAATATGTTTCATTTCATATATTTCAAAGAAATAGTGTAAGAGAACCGACGACCGGCTATATGTCTTCGTAAGCATGACTGTTCCCAATTACTGAATTCTCACACTGACGACCTCAAAGCTACGCTACTATCCTGGCCTATTGCCCAGACTGTTCACAGCCCCAACCTCGTTCCCAGGTTCTCCCTCGCTCCGAAGGGGCGGGTAGGAGGGAACCCTGGGAAGAAGGTTACGCAGTCCTCTATTTTTCCCTCGTCTGGGATCGAGCGCCGTTTGCGTTACGGGCGGCCATCCTCGGGTCTCAAATGTTCTTAGTCTAGCCTGGGGATGAGTGGTGGTGGGGGACGGTTTGGAAGGAGGCGACTACAGCAAATCCGACTGATCCAGAAGTGCTCTTACCTCGCGATAAGAACCAAAAAGAATAGTGAGTGATATCGAAACATTAATTTATAACTAACAGCCCGGCAAAAGAGCGGCCAATCTTTTGTAGCCATTGCCCCTCCTTTGAACTGGGAAAACCGCCCTCAGGCTAAATCAACCTTACGTTTCACAAATAGTTTTTACGCGGGTTACTTGATAAAATTTCCGTTTGTATCATTTTGGCGAAATTATCTCTCTTGCCCGGTCTTAGGACCGTATTCTTCGATCAGGTAGCAGTTGCCGCTTTCGCAAAAACAGTGGTTTTGGTTTAAGATATCTAAAACTAAAGTGGGGTTACAATGGCCAACTCCACTGTTTCGACTACTAGGCCCCTTTTTTACTTCTGTTTTTTTTCCTTGAGTTCTATAATGTTTTCTCGTCTTACTTGATTTATCTTTGCCACTTTTTCCGGTGCGCACGTGCACCTGCAAACAGTTTCTATCTTTTCTGATATGGATGTGCGTGCGCTCTCAGAACGTCATGAGTGATGTATACTAAGTGATAAAAATAGACAACACACCACTGCTCTTGCGTAGTTTCCTGTGGATTCCAAGCTTACGCTTTTACTTTCTTTTTATGGCTGCTACAAAGTGAGGCTTGTTTGATTTGCTGGCCTTTGACCTTCGGCATCGTAACCTACCGCAAAGACTTAGCAGGTGCCATGTAAAATGAGTTTGTAATTGGAAAAAGCTCATATATCCACCTAGTACCTACAAATCGATTCAGATGCATGCGTGCGCATTTGGAATTTACCTGTTATCATATTCTTGATGTTCATCGGGTTTTTTCTTAAGTTAGCTTATCGCTAGATGAAATCATTGCATGTGGATGCTATACTACGCCTGAAGAAAATATCCGTTAGAAATATTGTGAATATTACAAAAGAAGGAAATGAAATGAATTAACAAAAGAAATTTAAGTTGTTGTTTGTACTATAAAAAAACACTTTCGTGAAAGACTCCGTGATTTCCATGGTATTCTTGATATGATCGAAGTAGCATGGCTGTCAATTTACATTCTATTTAATTTCACTTCTCTATATTGACTGTTTCCATTGTTGTAAAGAAAAACTATTACTTTTTCTTGAAATGTGTCCATATAGAGCCATTATTGCACTCCGGTGAGATTCAATTTATATTAAAAAGCAAGGCACTTAGGTGTTGTATTAAGTTAAAATGCGCTTCGCTCGAAAAAGATCTAAAAAAACTCCTATCAAAGTCCTCATCATTAAAACAAACTCAGGTTCATCAGTAAGCCACTCCCGCTCCCTTTATACGGACTAAAACATTGCTCTATGAACACGAAAAAAAAATTTAAAAAGTCGCTTATTAACGTAGAATAACTCGTTAATAACCTTTTGACAAAGAGTTCTGGTTAATAAATGCAAATTGAATTTACTATGGATTTGCATCGGAATAAGTTGTGTCTATTGTAAATCAATTTAGAGGTGAAACGACGAGGAACTAGTAGGCCGAAGTCTGACGTAAAAAAGCGTCCGCTCAATGAAAAATCTTCGTTTGGTCTTTTTCATTTCAAAGCGACAAGACAAGGATAAAGTTCCTTCGTTTTTTCTTACGTTAGAAGAATTTTCAAGTTCTGTATTCCGGCCCACTGGAAAGAAACTTCACACAGGAGGTCAGCTAGTTCGGTAAGATAACTACTAGAACTCATTGATCATGCGTTTCTTTTTATAACACAAGAAGCTTGAAGCTAAGCCCAGTTACCTCGATACAGGAGCAACTGAAAAGAGGGTGAGGCTGTGTTTCAATCTTGTTTTAGATATGTTTTTATGTAATTGATTGTGTTCGATGTAGCATCGTTTTGGTGCAAGATTACGGACGGGTTAATTCGTGGGCCTCACTCGAACTGAGGTCGATTGATTACTTGAAAGACCGGTAGGTCAGGACGGCCAGCACTTACATCAAGAGGATACTTAAAAAAAAAAAACACACACACACACACACACACAAAAGTAAAGATATCTGAATTATATTTTCAACTCCGCCGTGAACTTTGAAAAGCGAGTCAACACCAATAATGGATGCATGTTCTAGTATAAGCAAGACGAAGAATCGTTTTAGCATCTTAGCGAACATTATCACCTCATTTGTTAACAAAGATTGGTTTCTAACCCTCATTTTTGCGCGTGAGTAAGGTGCTTATTATCTTATTGTATTTCCCACTCTAAAATTTTGCAGGTATAATATCTTCCATCTTTTTTGTCCCCTTCACTGATTTGAGCTTTGTCTGGCTTTTACTAAAATGTCTCCACGTTCAAGCATGTACGGTGGTGGACAGATCCGTGGAAAATATCTGACTTCATCTAGATTCAATCGAAATGCCTCAGCGATTTTTTTCTGCATGTGAACACTCAAATGAATTCAAGCTTCTTCAAATAATCTCGCGGTGAAGCTTTAAAAGCATGTTTGAGCCATAATATCCGCTATGTTTTATTCCAGAACCGGCTAAATAAACTAAGATTATTGTGGGTCTCTACCACTCTGCCTCTGCTTTTATTTTTTTCTGAAACGGCCAATGAAATCCTGTCTAGCTAGTTATTCGTGCTTAGATCTGGAGAATATTAATTTCTACCTTTTGAACTAAAACTTCCTGCCTCGCATGTCTAAAGAAACTTGATTAGACTATACTCGGAGAGCGTGATCGACTATCGCGGATGAAAATAAACCTCAATGTTTTTTTTTTTTGCCCAGGCACTTTGTCGTTTCCGAGAGGCAAACTGAGTGAGGGCAGTCCCGTCTTAGGTCATGTTTTTTGTTATTTTTGTTTAAATAGCTAACTATAAAAGACAACCTTCATGGTTAAAACGCTTGCCCTGCAGGGCCGGATATTTTAAAACAAAACACTTTGACCTAACCACCACCAGATGAGAACACATGACTCAGCGACTTCATGCTTGTAAATACAGTTGATTTCTAGCCAGGGAGCATCTAGCTTCTCTCTTGACATATTTCTAGCGATAACTTAGACAGCTTAAATTCGCTGAAACTTGCTTATGAAAGCGTAAAAAGCAACCAAATATACGTACGTCAAGTTAGCACTTATATTTTTATAACGATATAGTTTGGCCGATTGAAAACTTCCAGTGGCTTATTTCATTAGCCATTTGCCTTTTGTCTATACAATGGGTTTGCGTTTCGTTCAGACTTTTTTCAACAAAATGAATTCCTTTTTATAATTCTGTAGTACCAGAACATAATGAGTAAAGCGAACTGAATATATGTATAAATCTATGTCATTAAATCCTAATCAGTTTTCTTCGGAATACATCCACAAAAAGCGCGGCGCAACCACTAAGAAAAATTGACGTTAATTTGTTTTCCTGGATACAATTGTCAAAAGAAAGTGTGCCAATGGAAAGATAAACAGTTATTTCAAAGGTCTTTAATGACCGTAGTGAATACCTTGCATGGTATTTATTTTTTAGCAAAATATTACATTTTTTTTGTCCAACATACTGAACCTAATTCGCCGAGATTAGTTAGATTTAAGTTGCTGTAATTGAAAGATTATTTTATTTCACAGTTAATACGACAATGTCAAAACCCATATTTAATGCGGACTGCTGTTGCCAAACGCGTCTTTTTCAGAACATTTCTTTAAGACCTTATTACTGAAAATGTTATGTGCTTTTTGTACTTAGTCAGAGCAGGTGACGTCCACGGCTTAACTAGATAGAAAAAAGAAACAAAGTAAAATCTCATTTAATGGCAATGAAACGGTTGCTAAGGAAGCTTGGGAGTGAATCTCTTTTTCAAGCTCAGTCCATATGTGGAAAAACAACAAAACATTTAATCACTTATGACATGCGAGTCGGTTCTTCACCTGTCTTAGACATATTTATTTTGAGGTGAAAACGTCCCTTTTGATGACAGACTTATGTGTTTCGCCTAAAAGGCGCTCGGAACATAGCTAAGAGCAAAGAGAGTGGTCATGCAATGCACTCTGCGTCACCCGGACTCATGAAACACACAACGCGAGGAAGTATGGTAGAATTTTATATTTACATGTAATAGTAAATTTGATTGCGATCTTCAGTAACCTCAGCGAAATTGTCGAAGGTAGGTTGATGAGTTTATCATATATGCAAAAATTAGACAAATCTCCAGTATCTATTGTATTTCTGTTTCTACGTCAGAAAACTCTTAGTGCGGATAAGCCAATTTTTCATGGCTCTCACTTCAGGCTTTCGCCTGTTTCTCACAGGTTATACATCACTTTAATTTTATGCCTTTTTTGAACTGTTCGCGATTATCAACCGTTCGAAAATTGGAAAATATATACACATATACATATATATCACTTTATTTAGTGGCTCGGTTTTGTCAACGATTTTGAATCAATGAACATATTCCGCTCAATCTCCTGTCAATTTTGATTCCCTGAAATGAACACAGTTGTTATTTCCAAATGGCTTTCCATACTGACTTAACTTTTTTTCACACGACAGCATTTGTTTTGCTGTTTATTTTATTTTTTCAAAAAAAGGGCAATGGATGTCTCATTTAATTTCCTTCAATAGCCAAAAAACGTAAAATTGTGTGTAGGTTTTTCTATTTTCCTGAACTGAGAAAAAGGAAAAAAGAGAAAACGGCTCCAAACGGTGCGAAGAAAATTTCCACTGAGGGATCTAAGCATTGCTTAATTAGTAGTTGCTTGAATAAACGCTTTGTCTGACTGGTGCTGTGACCTCGTTACCATACTGTACGCAGGATCCTACGCGCAATACAATTCAGTTCTTCAAATCGGGATTCTTTTTGCTTCCCACGATCGCGGGGGCGGGGGAGCTTTAGGAGGTCTCCTCCTATCTAACTTCAAAACCACGGCCACCAACATTACACAGAATAAAGTTCCCATCATTTCCAACATCTATGCATAACTTGATTGACACAATGACGTTATTTGATGTCATTATCACGTCATACTCGTGAATTTATAAACCTTCTTCAAAAATGACATAAAAATCTTTGTTGTACCTCAATAACTTTGCATAAGCATTGTTTTCAATTTCTCTTGAGACTTACAATCGCCCAAGCAAAATTGAAAACAATGCTTATGCGAATTTTTGGAGGGACAACAAAGAGTGTTATGGGATTTTTTTTTTCGGGCGAAAAGAAATGGTTGCTTGATCAATAAATGATAATTTTACGCTGCAAAACTACCGTAGCCAAAAGTGCAAATTATATCAAATGATTGCTTTTATCGGGAAATAGATGCCTGGAAGTTATGCTAGTAATGACGACTCATGCCAAACGTGCTAGCACAATTTATCAAAGCCTACAGTAAGCAAAGGAAGAAAGAAACTGGAAATGAGACTTGGAGCCTAAAGCGGGACGCTCTGCTGTGAAGGAAAGAGCATCTACCATTTGTCCTTCGTGTACCTGTGGCGGCTTACTATCATTCAGAATAGTAAGTTTCAGAAAATTCCGATTTTTTAAGTAGATGGAACGCCACTCTCAGGTCGTCGTTCCATTAGAAATGATAGAGACCTTACGATCCCACAACGGCGACTCTAACGAGAATATCACTGATACACTGACATCGCGCTTTTTCAAACATTTTCTGCGGTATTTCCGTGGAGCTTAAGGGTACGGCCGGACTGTGCCGAAGCTGAGAATAGATCTGAGTAAAACTGATCGCTTAACCGTTCACTTTCTTAAGAAAACTCAAAATTTAATCAGTTCACGTCGTAGTTGTGCCAGTATGACAATGAAACAAAATGATTCAGAAAAAAGCGTTATGCACGTACAGTCGAGTTGTTTTTTCTCTCTAAACCACTTGCCTTTTTTGAAGAATCCGTTACCATCGCCGTCGTAGTGGGAAGCTCCTTAAGGCCGAGTGCAAAGTAACCTGTGAAAGGCAGTCTCAGCTTCTTAAAAGCCAGTGCATGGTTTCCATATAACTGTAACTAGTATAATTGTCAAGATTGTCTTTGTCTTGCTAATCACCTCAAGATATGTTCAGACAACCTAGACGACGAGTGATATTTGGGCCCGTTTGGACGACCGGAGCAATAGCAACCATTTGGATAGAGCTGGAATCTTGGCGGACTCGGATCATAGTCGGCGATCATAGTCAACGTAACGACTCACAGACGATTGGAGCAAACAGATCCAAATGTTTATACAAGCGTTCAACATTTCCCCAAAGATCAACGCATTCTAGTAAAGTAACAATATCTACCCCTGAACCCAAACTTCTGGTGGACGATCGATATGAGCTTTTCAGTAGGGAATTAAGATAAATCTTTGCATTGTGTTTGCATGTTTCTGGTTGCCAGAAATCAAATCAGTGCAGACTGAGATAACAATTCAGACATCAGAGCTGAAACTATTTTCTCTTTAGTCCCGCGTTTAATAAATGTATTATGTCACTGACGGTGTTGTAACTTCGCTTCCGCCCTCCGGCTTTCGTTTCCCCACGACACTAATTCAAGTGTTTGCGCTGGCTCTTTTAACCCAGTCCACCACTCCTTTCCAATATGAGCTTATGTTTCGCGGGAGATGTCACCCTGGGTCTCATTTCATGCATTTGTGTTGCAACATAATTGACGGAGAAGTTGCTAGCATTTAACTGTGGTGTGATGTGGCCATCAGAAAGTCGAAGCACGTTTTTAGTTAATTCAGGTGTCGATTTTTGTTGCTAGGTTTATCATGTGGGCGATATAATTCACCACTGCGGTCACAGGGGAGAAAAGTTAAGAGGAACTTAATCTGGCGCACAGGTACCTCAAAAGTAAATACATCAATCTGAATATGAAAAAGAAACGAGATATAGCGCGAAAATAAAATTGTAGTAATATATATCTCAAATTCAACTTTATTCGTAGTTCGTTCGTCATAAGGATTATGATTCCACATTGATATCAATTTATTTTGTCACTTTCGGCTACTATTTACAATCAAGTTATTCTTGTTGTTAGCTTAAAACTGAAATGTTGTCTTCACGGATGCCTCAGTTATTGAATTATTTATTTGTATAAGTTGCTTTTTCCGGACGTAAATTAAAAAACTGTTTTGTCTTTGCGTGATACCTGTTATAAAACGTCTTGGTTCTTGAAACAATGAATATTGGTATATAGAGCTAGTGAAAAAAATAGCTAATTGTTGTTTGTAGAGAAAATCATCATTACACATCATACTGCTAGAGTAAGATGCTAGCCATACCTCAGACCGAAAATCATTCTTTATGGCGTCTTATCTGAACAAGCATGCACTTTCGTTTTTAATATACCTATTATATTTAACCAAAGACACCTGCTAAATGAATTAATAAACACCTCGTTGGTTAAATTCAGTAGGAAGAACTAACGCATAGACGCGTGCACCCAAAATAGAGAGAAAGCGGAAAGAAAAACCCTCGTGGTTTGAATTTCATCTCCCAACGAGTAAGGTTTAAAGTAATTTTCCGGATCTGAAGTCGTCGTCGTTAAGATCCATAACACTGAATTGCTACTCCTGCAAAGCAACGTTAACTTCACCTGTATCAAGATTCTTTGGTATGGCGTGCGTGGCGTTAAGTTTAGTTTTTTCTCGGCGTATAAATAGAGAGGATTTTTGTGTTTCATTCATGTACTGCTTGAAAAATGTTTGATATATCTGAGAGTAATTCCTTCCGAAACAGGAATTCGCATATATAAAACGTTTCGCATGAAAATTCAGCTGCATTTGGATTTGCAAAATTTTCAGGTCCTTTATCCGCTGAGGTAAGTTTATTTATTTATTTATTTCTTCTTTTACGGCAGGCAAACTTAAAAATAAGGGCGCTTTCCAAACCGGGTCAGAACACATAATAGGCTTTTTACCAGGGTGTTTTTTTTTTCATGAAAAACCATCCTCATGCATACTATTTTAGATTTGACCAATCTAGCTGGAAAGGAATGGTCTGGTCTGTAAGTTCTGACAAATGAAAAGCGCCCTTACACTTGACACAACTGAAAAGCGATAGCATGGGGCTTTGAGAAAGTTTAAGGTAACTAGGAATCCTGTAATAAGAAGACCAGTGATTTTACCAAGTGGTGGTGCAAACTGCATAAATTAATCAAGCTAGGGGAAGTTATTAATCAACACAAAATATGCACAAATTAAATGTTTTCAGTCGCCCGTCATTACCTGCCTCAGAGCTCATAAACAGTTGCTAAAGGGCGATATTTCTCTGGTTAAATGGTTAAACTTTCCGGCCATCGTTCACTTGCCAGCCAGATTTCAGCAACCTGAAGTTCTAGGTAACTATACATCTAATTAGCGCGTAGAATTTTCGACTGTTTTTTCTTGGAATTCATTATAAATTTATTTTAATGAATATTTGTATTACTCCATGAAAACTTCAAAATACGATTTGTCACAACGCACGAATCGTTTCTAAAGTACGCCACTCACATTTATTGGTCTATCACTTGTGTGACTAGTATTTTCTAATCTACGACGTTTAATGGCAACTGACCAAAAAAATTGACAAACGTAAACTTACACGGCTATTATACGTTGTATTCAAGTTGCAACGCCGAAAAAAATGTAATGAAATGAAAGGATTAACACCAAGCATTAGTCTATAGAAAAAGAAAAGCGAGGAAAATACAGTCCTTCGTCCTCGCTAAACAGGTAGCCATAGAAATTTCGACTAAGTGTACAGAATTTGCAGTGAGATCGGAAAGTAAACGCTAGCAATTTGCGTATCAGTTAGAAGAATATAATACAGACCTTCCAAAATTTGTCTTTTTTCATAGAGGATAACCGAGCATAGTTTTACCTGAATCTCACAGTATTCTTCCAATTATTTGCGGGAACGATACAAGTTTTTTTATAACAAATTGAACTGAATAGGCCTGTTAGAGATACGTTTTTTATCCTTAGATTGCAAGAAGCGAAGAAAAGAAAAATTCCTTTTAGCACGATATTTTCCGTCAAGTATAAAAAACTAATACAGTACTGTGTACTGTGTTGGGCTCACTGAGGTTTTTTAGTTTTTTTTTCAAAAGTCAGTACCAACATTTTTACAAAGAACTTCAATAGCATGAAGCAGTCTTCATGTACATTCCTTTGCGGGTTGATTTTTGAATAAGTTTTAAATCGTCACTTGAGAGCTATTGAATTTATCCAGATCACGAGTTTCCTAAGCCACAAAAGAGACACAGACCAAAATACATTTTAATGATAATGTCTGAGCTTAAAATACTGTAAATTGAACACATTTAATTGTTACTTTTAAACCGTTTTCTAGTTCGTTACTGATAAGTTAGAATTATATTACAAATTTGTTTTTATTGAATCAGATATAGATTCCCAGAAGGGAGTCATCATAGTCGGTGCATCCAGATCTTGCCCCATCCTTAGGCTTAGGCCTGTTTCACGACGCGCTGCCAAAAGAGATCTTTAGATTCTGAGACGAGTACGACTACGAGTACGAGATGTTCCCAATACCAAGTAGGGCTTGCCCGTGAACTAGCGTCATTTTGGCGGGAAACATGATTGCATTCTACTACGAGTTTTAGCGAGAATGTCGTGGTAACGGAAACAAGTTATAAAGTGTTAGAGGTTTTATCATTTTACGGCCGGGAGATGGCCTAAGCTCCTTCAGTTAAGAGAAAAATGCTAATTTTTTGTTGAAGAAGTGCAATGAAGCTATCCGGGGTGTCTATAATTTGAGAATACGCGAATATACTTTAAGTCAAATCTTGTACTCGTAGTCGTTCTCGTCCTAGAATATAAGTCTCTAATGTGTCCGGCCAATGTGCTCGAGCGATTCGTCTCGGCAACGTCAAAGAAATGAAATGACCGAGAACGCCTAGGGATACGCTGCACAGTGAAGGGACTGTGGGTAATCCAGAGTATTTAGTAAAGCTCGCTTAATCAGTGCGCTTTAATTGGTCAATTACTCCCAATTGCTAGTAAGTGAATGCTGGCAAAAGCTAGCGCGTGCTCGGAGCATTTCGTTCCAAGTTATACAGTAAGATGTCGCGTTTATTAGCAGTGATGAACACTAAATCTTACGACTTTTTCATAGGGTCTTAATGATTGTTTATTTTTTTCTTTCATTAGGTGACGCGATCAAACTAAGAAAAATGACATATATTAAATTTGATTTTATCAAAACTCATTTTCATATGCATTCTAACTTCCGGCTCAACATTAAAAGTTGAAGGGGTTAAATGTTAAAGAAACCGTTCTGTTACGCGGTGGGGAAGTAAAAAAAGGTTTTATTAACTGAGTTGATAAAGAATTCTGTCCAAAAGCCGAAGAATATTGAGATTTAGAACCCCTTTTTAAGTCAAAAAGAAAACAATAAACATCAATTTAGTTCCAAGTATTTTTTCTGGGGCTTTTAATGTTACAGCCAGCCCACAAATAAATCGTGATTGGCAGGTATTATACAGAAAACAAAACGCACAACAATAGGAAATAATAGAAGCCATAATAAACAACTTTGAAATTTACTTACACTATTTTTTCTTTAAATAAGAAATCTGTGTATCTTTAGTTCGACGACTCAACTATAATTTTTTTCAATACGATAGTCGCAATTGCGAATTAATAAGGAAAAGTTTTTAACGATGGCTTCTACTATACATTTCTTTACCTTATGCCGAATAATGAAATATCACGAGTTTCGGTAACCAGGAAGTTCTCAAACCGCGCCTTCAGTCGAGTCCAAAAACTGAATGAGATCAAATATTTCTTGAAATAAAAATGAAATGGTTGGTCCCAGATACTGGAAGCGAGGATATAGGAGCTGGATGTTTTACATTAAATTGCGATTTTCGTATAGAGATTCAATGTACTGTGGATATTATCGTTACGATTGGATAAAAATGTAATAACAGTCTATTTCGTAGTTAATCTTTTCCTAGACAGCTGACGTCAAGCTCACGCTGATTACAAATTAACCTGAACATTTTTTAAACTGTCTCCTCTTGGTTCTTCCACCAATATGTCGTGCTTGCCATCAAATACAACGTTTTAAATTATATCTTTTACTTCGGCAGCTCGTGATCTTTAAGCGACGTCATGAATTTGTTCCTGTTGAAGTTATTTGTTCTTTGCTGCGGTGTCATGAAGGTTGTGATCTTAAACTTGGTGGACTTCGCTACCGCTCAGGTAGACGAAACTTCAGGTAAGGAAGTTGCTACTTTTTAAATTAAGTTTTAAATTACAAGTCTACGTTTTTCTGGGAAATCAGGCCGATTTTTTTTGGGTCAACTTTGTTGACGTAAACTGCGTAGGATTGCTTTGGATTATTTTAGGTGGTCTTATCATGTTTACAAGAAGTCGCTTTACTTAAAAATGGCTTACAGCCATTACACACGATAAGCAAAGTGCAGTTACGTTACAATATTATCCCACATTAAAAGGCCATTCACGCACAGTTTCCTTGTGCCTCAATACCATTTTGCTTGTTTAGTTTTTCTCAAACCATGTTGGTATTTTTTTTCAATCCTTTAAAATCCCCTGGCGAAGTTAATCGTATTCTGATCAGACAATTCTATTTTCCTAAGAAAAATGATGCGATTTCAAATCTGAAAATTCGATGTTCATGACTGGGGCTATGTATTTCTTTTTCTTTTCTTTTTTTTTTTTTTATCTAACTTTCATGCAGCAATCATTTTATAAAATTAGTAGACATCTTTCAAGCGCCTTGAAATACGTTCGACACTTCAAGCGTGAAAATTGTCTGCAAACTAGGTTGTCTTTAATATTTAATGATATAAAAACATCGCAGTTACTAACATAGCGTGCCAGAAATGTAGACAAGTTACAAATGACTATGGCAACAAATTGATTTCATGAGAAGTGTGATGGTTTGGATTCAAGAACTAGAAATTTAGAAACATTATAACATCCTGATAACTCAATTTTCCTTAGAAAATGAGGCCTCTTTTTTTTTAGTTTTGCCCGTGGGTTTGTTTTAATGAATGCCGCTACTCCACTGGCGGGCTTTATTAAATAAAACCTCCATGATTTATTTCGATCTGAGAAAAAAACAATTAGGGAAAGTACATGTCTTTCGTAAAAGAAATTTTATTCCAAAAATTAGCTTTAACTTATATAGGTAGCATTTGAAACGTAACAGCAGATACAGTTCCGTTGTTAGTCATTTTTCGAGCGATATTGAAAATTATGATGGTCGCGGTTGACTATGAAATAAATGTCTGTATTCGAATTCTCGCTTGTAGGAATATGCGACATTCAAGTAACGAACACTTGGAGAAAAAATTGGGTCAAATGATCAATTACCATTGTGTCAGATTTTTCATCTCGGTTACTCCTGAGGTATATTTTGGCTAGTTTCGTGGTCAACAGCGAATCATCGCTTTACCGCGGGAAATCCGGTCTCTGGAATACATTTATAACTCTATTTTAGGTTATGAAGGAAATTATATACTTCGACTGAAAAGGAAACCAGTCAAAGTGTACGACAAAACTGTGAGTTGTTCAAATCTGTGATTTACATCTGTTTTGGGAAGCTTTTGCTCTTTGACGAATGAAAAACGCAATAAACGCCATTTTTACTGACATTGAAAGCCGGTTTTTAAATGTCCGGCTGTTTGGTTGCCCCTCGCGTTACAAAATGGTCATGCCTTTACAAGGGAAATATATATGGCTTACAAAAGTACTTTTATCTTTATTCAAAATCATACATGATTCTATCAAGAAAACATTGTTCAACCTTTTAAAAATTAAATAGAAAAAATCTTTAAAATTACTTTAAATGCATATCCGCGACTGCCTTAAAATAGAATCTGTTTTGACTATATTCCTTTTATATCGGTAAGCAGCTTATTTGAATCAAGCGACATTTTTAAAAGAAATACGTAAGGTCTTGCCATAAAACGGCTCTTTTCACGAAATCTATTAGCAAGATTGCTTTCGTATAGTGAGATAGGAGGTCATTTATCCGAACGATGGGGAGAAAACTACAGGTTTCCGTAACTTTCGCATGACCTTGGTTTTTTGCGCTTTAATACGCGGTTTGAATTTATTTGACATACATATTAGAAACTCGTCATCAACATAAACGACGTTAAATTTAGACGTTTGATATGGAGTAGCCTTACTTTAGTTTTGCTTTCGTGAAACAGCGGGGATAAATACAAATTAGTTTTTGTTATACACATATCACACGTGGGAATAATATTAAAACGGTCTGTGTTCTTGTTAAACCTTTTAATTCTCTGCATGGAAGAAAATTAAGGTCGACGCTCAAATATTCGTTTTTACTATGAACACCTTTCAGTCGGAAACTCATATCGTCAAAAACGTCGGCTTTTTACAAAATTTCATTATTTAACATCCACGAAGACAAATTCTAATGTAAAAAAAGTTCCTTCTGGCGCCGCGTGGCTTTTAAGTGTTAACTGAAAAATAATTGAGTTTGTTTCAACATTTTTCGAATATGCTAAAATTGAAATTGATCTGTTAGCGTTAATTCTTTGAAATAGTTTTCAAGGTGTTGTCATGTAATCTGATAAAACTAAAAACGCAATGGCTTGTATTTGCGTTTTAAGGATTTAAATGGCAAATGGTGCAGTATCTGAGTTGACATACACAGGTTTTATTGGTACTAAAAACTAAGTTATTAAACATATCGATTTCCTATAAGAAATTGTATAATTTATGTTTTTCGCACGCTTATTTTGTTCAAATTTCTTTGGAATTTTCTTTTCGTAGAACCTAGCTAGTAACGTATAAATTTAAATGTTTAACAACGATAGAAGTGAAGTCTCAGTAGTAAATTCTCTTGCTGTAAGCGCAGGTCATATTCACGATTTCCAGTGTGATAAGAACGGCTTGGAAACTAAAATTTGATAGCATTTTGTTTTGAATAAGGGTATGGGCATGATTTTCAGTTGAACATGCCTAGCGAGCGTAAAAATCGCATCCAATCTGAGGATTAATGAGAGAGGGAAAATTTTATATATTTAGGCATGACAAAATTCAAGGGAACATTGGTACTTAGAAATAACATCTCATAGGCATGGAAAAAATGGGTTCATGCCCTCGCAGCCCAAAATTGACCCAGCTAAACTTAGGTCCCAGATCTCTCGCCGGGTTGATAATTCATTCCCAGTTTTTTGCATGCCGGGCATGCCGATGGTGAAGCCACTTGGTTTGGCATGCCCGGCATACGGCCAGGCAAGAAATTGGCATGCCCAACGAGACTGATTTTGATTTTCGCTTCAGCATCATATCCTGCGAATCACATATAATCGCCAATTATATCTTAGAGAGCTTGAAGTTACAGGTTTCATGCCTGGCAATAAATGCAGATTATAACAAAAAAAGTCATGTTTGTCACAATGTGTGTCACGGGATCGCCTGCAAAACTGAAGACAGAAGCCTGGATTTATAAATAAAAAGCACAACAAAACAACATTATTCATGCATAAAATAAAATACTTAACTTGCAATCAAAGATCAATCCTTTTATTTCAAACCGATACTGACATTTCTGGGTCCAGATTTAAATTTGATCGGGGAAAAGCGTCTTAAACAATAAGATAACAAATCTTCTCAGTATGAACTTATCCATGCTTAAGTTTTATGGCGTCGGAATGTTTCCCGGCCAACAGCATCAAAAGACTGGTGAAAATTAAGCTTACCAGGTCGTTCAAGTCAATACGAGAGTACGACGTTAATACTGCAAAGACGTTCTGATTTGGTGAATTTGGACTGCCTTCTCAGAGAGATTTTGCTTAGTTTTTCAGTGCGCTCCTTGTCGGCTATGCGAATCTCGCAAACTGTTTTACTCACCTTGCTGACGATAAACCTTTGAGCAACGTCATCAGCGTCATCCGAAGATACCCCGAGCACGCACGAAATCGGCCGAATTTCCGCAGAAGTGTTTTCGGATGACGAGGAATCTAGTTTGTTGTAGCGTGGCAGTTGTGGCGTCACGATGTCGTCATGTCTCTTCGCACTTGTTTGTCTTTTTTTTCTGCGGTGCATGGTTGAGATGTTGGTGAATGCTGAACAAGAAATGGATTCTGCGAGAGACTGTAAGTACAAATTTAGTATTAATTTGGTAAAGAAAAAGCCTGAATATTGAACAAATCCCGTGAATTAGCCTTTAGGCATTCAGTTTATCTTGCTGTTGAGCATGCCTAAGAACTCCGGCATAAGTGGTTGTCATCTCGTTCACTTCGGATTGTTTCTGTTTGTATGTCTTGTAATCTTCTTCTGCTAAGAAGATTAGAGAAAACTTCAACAATAAGAAACCAAAGCTAAAAAAAGTCAGATCTAATTTTATAGCTTGAGTATAATTATTTTTGGCACCTACGGTCATATTTTTTTCACTGTACTGGTAAAGTTACTTATTTTTGCTGCATAGTTTGACTGTTGTTTGAAAGACAATCAAACGGATAGTACAATCACTTTTGGAGACAAAATAAAATATCCGTAAATCAAATGCCAAAATCAGATTTGGATTTCGCTTTAAAAAAATGAACATGCCGCGTGTGTCAAAGCAAAGTTGTAAACAACTCAATATAAGCAGTCTGTGAATGTGCGTTTAGGTCCACAAAACTAATTTTTCTTTTGGACATCTCATCCAAGCAAAGACTTAAGGCTTACATTGCTTGTCTACGAGTGTACTACAAAGTGCTTTGCTACAGTAAGCCTCTGAGAGGCGATTCTGGTAAATTTATAGGACGCTAAAATGCAAATAATTTTAAGCTTAAACAACCTGGCTGGGTCCGACTTTTGAATTACAAAATGCCCACGTTTGCCGGCTCTACTTTCAATGAACATGGTTTTTGAAATGATTTTGTACTATTTTATGATTAAATTATGATTGGGTTATAAAGCTTTTAAAACGGACGAAAACTAAGCTAATAAACATGTTCAATGTAAAAAACTAAGATTTAGTCGCTTTTTCAACTTTGATTTGTGGGCCGAAAAATTTACCTTTACGCAAAAACAAAAGCAAACAATGAGGCTTTTATTCGACATATTTTCTGAGAATTTTATCTGATCAATTTAATGTCACTAGAATTATTTTCGTATAGGAATTTTCCTAATTATATGAGCTTTTAATTTAATAATTTTGATACTCTATAAACTTCTCATTTGATAGCCTCACTTTTTTATACACCGATTGAGAAACAAATTCGCACTCGTTAAATCCTATTTTATGACCTGTTTATTAGAACTCTAGGTAACATACGAAATGATGCAACAGGACAACCTTTGGTCCTAATTTATTTTTTCTTCGCAACTCCTAATCAGTTGACGGGCTGTGAGAGAATATCGCCACAAAAAGATGCAAAAAATTTTTCGCTGAGTTTCCTTTACATATTCCGGCTTTATATGGGTTTACACCTTACCTGCTTAAAAATGAAACTGTTGTTCAATTAAGTGTCAGTCAAACTCGGTATAATCTTGACTTGCAAATCCAAATGCAAAGGTTTATTTCGCAGTAGAAAAGCGTGTAAACATCATCGAACAGCGCAATGTAAATTGGCTAATGTGAAACCACGTTTCTTTCACTTTATTTACCATGCATTCATCTCAATTGCACACTCTTGTAAAATTAGCCTCAGACAATTAGTTGCGACCTTTAACAGACTCAACAAGCCAGTATGAAAATATGTTAAGAGAAGCTGAGTCTTCATGTTCTATTTCTTTTTTTCATATTGCCCTTGCATGTGTTAACATTCCATTTCTTTTTTGTTACAGGTAACTTCCAGACATGACGAGGAGATAATTACTTTTCTAGAGAGCAATTCTTTGATACTGTCAGTTATTACTGACTTACTTTGAGTTAAAAACAAAGAACACAGACACTGGTAATGACACAAAAACATTAATCCCTGGCAAGCCTACAAAACAAGAAAGAGGAACTCAGACTTTCTAACAGCTTTTCTAACGTAGGGAAAATTGCGTTAGAGAGATTTGTAATTGCAACGTTATATTCAAGCACATTGCATTGTCAAACATCATAATTTACTGAATAATGAACAGTGATTTTGGGGCTTAGCTCAGTTTGTAATGAACTTTGAAAGATATTCTATAACCTTGTATTTTTAAAAGCTTTCATGGAACATAGATGCATTTTATTATACAATGAAAATAGTCTCTGTCTCTCTTTTTACTGATTTCAGTCAATTCCATTTTATTCGCAATGTGAAAGGGAATCCTATTAAAGACTCATTAAAAGGGGTGAGGAGTTTTTACAATCCCCCAACAGGTCATCTCCACGATGACGCTGTTTTATTACTACGGACGAATCCCTCAGGGTTTTACTTGCTTGCGAAAATTAGAGCTTTTGTTATTTAAAGTTCTCTGGGACAACCAAATCTATGAAAATGAAAGGAATAGCAATGACGTCATCGTGTAACCGTACATCAAAAGATAAGCACTGTGATCTGTTTAGTTTTTTTTTTGTTTTTAGCCAGGCTTAAAATATCTGTAGATTCAAGGAATTATAACCTGTGCGTTGAGAGCATGCCAGAGACCAATTTTGGCATGCCCGGCATGACCCAGATTATGGCACGCCCGGCATTCCAGAGAATTTAGCATGCCGGGCATGTCAGAAAATTTGGCATGCCCGGCATGCCGGAGATTTTGCTGGGTATGAATTACTTATTACTAGAACCTAGGCTTCTCGCGGCCTGGGTGAGAAGGTCACAGAACCTCAAATTATGCTTACAGGGCATGCGAAATTCTGTTGCATGCCAATTTCAATGCAAAACCTCTCTGGGGCAACCCCCTCGATTACCAGTGAGCAAATCATTGACGATAGGCATGCGAAAAATCCTTGCATGCTAACCAACAATGAAAACATAGCAGAAATGTCCTCAATTGCTGAGTCATGCCCTAGGGGAGGCTTTAAAATACAGAATTTCCTGACATGGATGAGGGAATTTTCCGTAAACAGCATGTGATCATGCCGGCTAGGACGTATTGCCCCTTTTTACAGCTAGCTAGGCTCATTTTTAGGTTCCATGGCCTGAAATGACGAAAAATTCATGCCCTAAATGTAAAAAGTCCAAAAACGTCCTCGAAATTTTAGTTTCCAAGCCGTTTAAGAGAGATAAAAATTGTGCAATTTTCCAGGTAAACAAGGCCTTGTTTTAACCTGCAAACATAAGTATAGTTTAATTGTCGCCTCCCTTATTCACTAAGCCCTCTTCTAGAACATTTTCCAATTTTAACGGAATAAAATATCCGC